AGGGTGATCAGAGGTCCTCCTTTTCCAGGACCTGTCCTCCATTTTAAGCGTCATCGATACTGATCATGCTTTCTGTAGCGGCGCAAATCTAGTGGGAACGATAGTTGTGTGAAAAAAGACACGAATGCATGGAATGTGGAAATAATTCGCTTCAGAAACTATGCATCGGCCTGAATCGAATCCGTGACCTGGTGTCAGTGCGACTTGCAAAGTGGTTTAAATGTAAGTGGGAATGAGTCCTGCAATTATCAGGAAGTTCCTCCTAATGTTGAGGTGGAATCTCTTTTCCTGGAGCTTGCACCCATTGTTCCAGGTCCCATTCTCTGGAGAAGCAGAAAACAAGTTTGTTCCATCCTCAATATGACACCCCTTCAAATATTTAAACATGCCTATCATGTCCAGTGTGGCATAGTGGTTTGAGTGTTGGACCATGACTCTGGAGACTAGAGTTCAAGTCCCAGCTTGACCATGAAACCCACTGGGTCACCTTGGGTAAGTCACACTCTCTCAGCCTCAGAGGAAGGCCATGGCAAACCTCCTCTGAACAAATCTTGCCAGGAAAACACTATGATAGGGTTGTCTTAAGCACACAACACATCCACACACAAGTCTGGAAACCATGCCCTGAGAGGAGCGACTTAAGGAGCTACCTGGACAAGAGAAGGTTAAGGGGTGACGTTGTTGTTGTTGTTGTTGTTGTTGTTGTTGTTGTTGTTGTTGTGTGCCTTCAAGATGTTTCTGACTTAGGGTGACCCTATCATGGGGTTTTCTTGGCAAGTTTCTTCAGAGGGGGTTTGCCATGGCATTCCTCTGAGGCTGAGAGAATGTGATTTGCCCAAGGTCAGCCAGTGGGTTTCATGGTTGAGCTGGGACTTGAATCTTGGTCTCCAAATGCATCTGAGGAAGTAGACCAGGGGTAGGCAACCTTTCCCCTTTAAGGGCTGAAGGACTTCAGCTCCCAGAAGCCTCAGGCATATTGGCCATTAGTCCCATGTTGGCCAATAGCTCCTGGGATTCTGGGAGCTGAAGTCCCTCGGTCCTTAAAGGGGAAAGGTTGCCTACCCCTGTACTACAAGATCTCTCTACGTATTGATTCTACAGACTTAACATGGCTATTTCTTTGAATTCTTGGTCTCCAGAGTCGTGGTCCAACACTCAAACCGCTACGCTATGCTAGACATGATAGACATGTTTAAACATTTGAAGGGATGTCATATTGAAGATGGAGCAAGCTTGTTTTCTGCTGCTCCAGAGACTAGGACACAGAGTAATGGATTCAAATTAAAGGAAAAGAGATTCCACCTCAATATTAGGAGAAACTTCCTGACAGTGAGAGCTGTTCGACAGTGGGACACACTCCCTCGGAGAGTGAAAAAACCATATAGGGGTAGCCGTGTTGGCCATATAACAAATCCAATAACATCTAAACAATGATACCTTTATTGGGCCAACCAAAATGCACAATTACTTGTTGCAAGCTTTCGAAGTCACGCTGGCTTCTTCATCAGGCAAACAGGAAGGGAAAAAATTTGAAGATGTTAGTCTTGGGTCTGCATTTTCTGTTTCTGATCTCAGTTCAGATGTTAGGGGAGGGCTATCTGCAGGTTGGCTCCTTCTCCCTTTGACCATGCGGTCACTGGAAAAATTTGCAAGCCAAGGAAATGTAATGTCCATTTGCAATCCAAAAATGATGTTTCCCTGGAATCCAGCATGTCTCTTTCCTTTGTGAAGCCGTAGGCTCCTATGCAGGTAGAGAATGCTGAATTTCTCAAAAGGTCTTCATGTTTTGCATCAGGAAAACTTTAGGTGATGTAGGGGTAAAAAATGCCAATCAGTCCCAATATCGGGGAAAAATTGCTTTATCTTTGTTGGAGGCAGAAGCCTCTGATAGCAAGGTTCCAGTGCATTGGCTCTCTCTTTATGATTCAGAGGTTTTTAAACAGAGGCTGGATGGCCATCTGTCTGCGGTGCTTTGGTTCTGTTTTCCTACATGGCAGAATAGGGTTGGACTAGATGACCCTTGGAGTTTCTTCCAACTCTATGATTTTATATTTTGGGACTCCCCATCAGTTCAATCACAGATGAGATTAGGGAAGCAGTAGTCCAACATCTGGGGAGTCACACGACATCTCTGTTCTTCTTGTAATAATAATAATAATAATAATAATAATAATAATAATAATAATAATAATAATAGTTTTATTTGTAACCCGCCCCTCTGCAGCGCAATCGGGGCGGCATACAGCAAGTTAAAATACGACAATTAAAATCCAATTTCCTATTCCCTCCACCCACAACCCTCCCCCTTAAAACAGTATTAAATCTAATTTAATACTTCCATCTTTCGAAGCTTAGTTTGTCACAGCTCCACAAATTGTTCTTTTGATTTCTAAATGTGGAATTGAAAAATCAATTTATTACACTTGATCTTAGCCAAAAGGCCAAGAAGCAATCAATTTATTAAAATCAATTTATTAAGACCTGGTTAGATTTAAAATCAATTTATTAAGACCTGGTTAGATCTTAGATAGATATCTTAGATAAGTCTTAGCTCTCCGGCAGGCCTTTCCAGATGGTTTTAAAAAATTGTAAATTTTAAATGATGGATTTTAAATGTAGATTGTTTTAATACGTATCCGTCTTGTTTGTTCTTTTAAATTGATGTATGTTTTAACTGATGTTGTGTTTTTAATCTAATTTATATTTGTTGGTCTCTGCCTCTATCCATGAGGAGAGGCAGGTAAATAACAACAACAACAACACAACAACAAATCTCAGAAGTGCTGGAGTGGGATGAATACCACATATTCCAAAGCACATTTTATTAATTTATTCTCAAATTTCACTAATAGTGCCTTTCCTCTAAAGAGGACTTGAAGGCAGAATTCTTCAAAATCAAACAGGCATTAAGAACAATGTAAACACTGCAAAACTGAGATGCAGAAAAACTTATTTGAACAAGATGAAAATATGAATTCAGCAATTCAGATTCCTTGGGAATGTTTCCCACTGAATGGAAAACTCCCATAGAGATTGCCATTCTAATCAGTCAGCTGGAATAATAATTAATAAATAACAACAACAACAACACTATTATTATTACTACTACTACTACTTTTATAATGCTATTTCCACCAAAAGGTGGAACATCAAACATATATAAAATGGACAATAAAACACAGATAATAAAAATGCTAAAACTTCCTTCTTCTTCGTTGTTGTTGTGTGCCTTGAAGTCATTTCCAACTTATGGGGACCCTAAGGCAAACCTATCACATGGTTTTCATGGCAGGTTTCCTCAGAGGGGGTTTGCCATTGCCATCCTCTGAGGCTGAGAGAGTGTGACTTGCCCAAGGACACCCAGTGGGTTTACATGGCTGAGCTGGGATTCGAACCCTGGTCTCTAGAGTCATAGTCCAGTGGTCAAACCACGACCCCACGCTGGCTTCTTCTAGCAGATTCTAAAAGGAGAAATGAGGTTTAGATCTGGTGTGATCTTGTTTAGCAACATGATCTTTAAGTGGCTTAAGGCTTCTGCCAAAAGTGCTTAAGCAGCAATTACAGTCAGAATCCACAGATTCCCACCATCCACAGTTTGAAAACATTTTTAGGAAAATGAGGGAAAATAGCACTTTTAAGCAAGGAAGAGAAATACAAGAAACGGTAATATTTGTGCGATATAATATTTTGATAATATTTGTTTGATATATAAAAGGTGATGTTTGTTTGAAGTCCGATTTTAATGCACACAATCTATTAACTACTCCGAAATAGACAACAAAGATAGATATAGAAATAGATCATATAATACAGTATATTTACATTAACAAGTGAAAGAATTTGTAGGGATATGTGTTTTATTATATTGTAGGAGTTTACGTTTAAAGATGTAGATTTCACTGAAATGTTATAGTTGGGAAGGACTGGAAAAAGCTTAGCGCAGGAAAACCATGACTTCCTTAAAAATTCAATGAGTTTTATGGGATGATTGATAGAAAACTAGTAGTGATTTGAGTGTTGGACCTGTCTCTGGAGACCAGGGTTTGATTCCCAGATCAGCCATGGAAGCCCACTGGGTGACCTAAGGCAAGTCACACTCTCTCAGCCTCAGAGGAAGGCAATGGCAAGCCACCTCTGAACAAATCCTGCCAAGAAAACCCCATGATAGGTTTTGCCTTAGGGTCGCCATAAGTCAGAAACAACTTGAGGGCACGCGACAAACAAAAAGAAAACTAGTTAAAGAGTGATAGGATGTGTTGTTGTATAATCATGTTTGCAAAGATGTTTTGGGGGGAAAATAGATATGGAAGATATGTAAATGTGTGAGAATATGGAAAATAAAAAATAATAATTTTTTAAAAAGGAAAAGAAAATGTTTTGCGGAAAAAATTCCAAAAAGCAAACCTTGATTTTGCAAAAAAAAACAATTTTTTTTTTTTTACAAGGGATACCATTTTGTGGTGCCATTGTATTTAAGGGGTCTTATCCACAGATTTTGGTATCCATGGCAGTCCTGAAACCAAACCCAAGTAGATACCAAAGGACCACTGTTATCAATCCTGGATGTGTTGGGGGCTGACCACCTTTACTCACCATGAAAAGAAGGCCCTCTGGACATGCCTAGAGGACCTCTAGTCATTTTAATTACTTCAGATTTTCCCAAGTTCTGATCTTGAAATATGGATGCATCTACACTGCAGAATTAATGCAGTTTGACACCGCTTTCACTTCCATGGCTCAGTGCTTTGTGAGTTATTTAGCCTTCTTTGTCATAGAGCTGTGGTGTCACAGCAAACTACAAATCCCAGGATTGCATAGGATGGAGCCAGGACAGTTAAAGCGGTGTCAAACTGCATTAATTCTGCAGTGTGGCAGCAACCACCATGTGTGTGATCGGGTTAAAAAGACAGCCTTTTGAATGAATATCCCCATGCTTTATTCAATCATTTAAGTTTTGGTATGTGGTTGTGTGTTTTTGTGTGTCCAGCTGGACAAGAATGGACAGAAAGATGAGGGCCTTTTTTAAAAAAGCTGGGTCACATAAGGTTTAGGACATCTTCCCCAGAGAGGCTTTGTTCTCAGCTTAGTCGTGGAAAAAAAAAACATGCTTTTGAATGTTGTGTTTGGGATGGATAATAGCTGACCTACTTTTCTGAGACATATTTTCTGTGGGTAGTTTGAGGAGCCAGCGTGGCGTAGAGGTTTGAGCATTGGGCTCTGGAGTCCAGGGTTCGAATCACGGCTCGAAAATGTAAACCCACTGGGTGACTTTGGGCAAGTCACACTCTCTCAGCTTCAGGGGAAGGCAACAGCAAATCCCCTCTGAACCAATCTTGCCATGAAAACCCCATGATGGGGGTTGTCTTAGGGTTGCTGTAAGTGGGAAATGACTTGAAGGCACAGAACGACAACAAGAAGTTTGAGTAGAGAGGATTATTATTCAGAAATAAGTTGTTGTTGTTGTTATTATTAAAGTTTATTTCTAAAGCGCTGTCAATGTACACAGCACTGTACAAAGAGACAATCAAGCATAAAATAGAATAAAACCTGCCAAAGGCGTACAATCTAAAATACAAAACAATAGGTAAAATAATAAAAGTCAGTCAAAGCGAAAAACAATTACAACAGTTAATTAGCAACATCCACTGTCTACCCAAATGACAGAAAAAGTAAATGTATATCAGACAGTGCCTGGGAATGCCTCCCTGAACAAGGTGGTCTTTAACTCGGATTTAAAAAGAAGTAATGACCCATGTTTGAGGAGGAAGAAGGTTCCAGGAAAGAAGGAAGAAGTGTTGTTGTTATTGTTCATATTTTCACAGTTGTTGGTCTTTATTAAGGTGCACATAACTTTGGACCTGACACGTTACTTTGACAAAAGAGGCAAAAGGTTCTACAACAGGAGCCTTTCCCTATCCCTGTCAGAAAGGAATGTAAATGTCATAAATTACATAATTAATCATTGACTACAATTTTATAACCTTTTGCCTGTCCGATGCCAGATTGCAATCCTAGAGTAGGGCTCAGCTTGGATGGAGGATTGGTTCTAAAAGGAAAGTGGCACCAAGGACGAAAAGTAAAGCTTTTGACAAGGTCCCCCACGATATTTTTGCAAACAAGATAGTAAAA